TTAGTACAAAGACCCCTGCGCATATCCCCACTCAGAACCAAATATTCAGGAAGGTTCCTTCTAGGCTTGGCTCAGTCCCTTGGACCCTGGGGGTAGGACTCTTGGACAAGCTCACTCTGAATGAAGGCTGGACCATTTGACTAGCCTAGGGCACAGAAGTGAAGGCATAACCCTCCACAGTTCTATCTGGGGCAGAATAGAGAAGGAGGCTAAGACAGAGGAAGACAGTTGTGAAGGAGGTCAGGAATGCAATAGACAAGAAAAGGTTAGTTGATGGGGAAGGGAAGGAGAGAAAACGAAACGATTCTAACACCCTGAAGGCCTTTTAGGAACACAGATTACAGCAACACGCCCCCTACCATCACCACCAAAGACTGGTGTGTGGATACCCAAAGCTCTGGAGTAGAGCTGTGCGTTTTAACAAACAAGCAAAGATTGTTCCAGGGCAGGGAAGGGGACAACCTCACTGGGAGGGTGTCGCAGTCTCAAGCCGGCTCTGGAAGGCTGAGGTGGAAGGGGTGTCGGGACAAGGGGAAATTCATAACCCCATTCTCTGAACTTGAGCAGAGGGATGGTGAGCCGGCTCCCTAAGCCCAGCACCATGTCCACAGTCCGAGTGCAAGTTCACCCTGACCCATTCCCTGAAACCACAATAGCTAATTATTCCCTTCAGACCCCAATGGAGCAAAGTCTTTCTCTTTATAATCCAGCAAATATTCCCACCTCAATTTTACTTAAAAAAAAAAAATCTCAAACACTCAGCATCTTTCCATCTGCCATGCCAATCTTGGAAAGTCAGTCCTTTGGGTTTTGAAAGTGTTTCAGATCCCTAAAATCCAGAGGGGCGTGATCTAAGCCACCCCTGGGGATTAGTGTATCCCAAACTTCCCAACAGCGGTCATCTCTAACAAAGTCCCTCAGGAAGGCGACCCGGCTAACGTGAGGGAGCCGAAGCGCGGCGAGCTCGGTGCAGTGCGAGAGAGCAAACCGAGTCCCAGCCCGCGAGACCGTCCACGTCCCAGCATCACACTCGTGGGTGTGGGGACCTGCCAG